TTTTTGAAATAAAAATAAATACTCATATGCTAGGCAAAGCTACGTGTATTTGATCAAACATACAGTTAAAAAAAGCACTGATATTGTGAAATATTATTACAATGTAATATTTGAATATATTTTATTTTCTATTTGAATATATTTTCAAATGTCATTTATTCCTGTGATGACAAAGCTGAATTTTCAGCAGCCATTACTTCAGTCTTCAGTGTCACAATGTCCATCAGAAATCATTCTAATATGCTAATTTGGTGCTCAAAAAACATTTCTAAATTATTATCAAAACAGTTGTGCTGCTTAATGTTTTTTGCGGAAACAGTGCTACATCTTTTTCAGGATTATTTAATTAATAATGTAAAATAACAGCATGTATTTGAAATGTAGGTCTTTTAGAACACTAAAAATGCCTTTGTCACTTTTGATTTGATCAAATTTAATGTATCCTTGCTGAATAAAAGTATGAATTTCTTTAAGAAATACTGACCACAAACGTTTGAACTAGTATATTGGTATATGTTGAAATCCCCTTTGCCCTAACTATTTATGCCTATTCACTACCATAAACTAACTGCTGATGATATAAAACATTCCCCCCCCCACACACACACACACAAACAGAGACATTCTCACTAACACACCCAGCATTGTCATATTCTTGTAAAAACCACACTGTCTGTATATTAATTAGCTGAGAAAATGAAATGCAGTAACATCAAAGCTACTGTGGAATTAAAGCCACAGGCTTCACCTGCCCAGGTGTAAATGATTGAGATATTAATCAGCACTGGCCAGGTGTGTTTAGAAGGTGATTTACACTGCTTACTCTTGTAGGATTGCAGAAGTGCATTCCTGAGGCTTCGTTCAAAGGAAGAGCAAGGGGATGATGCCATACCACACACACTTGAACACACACTCACTTGAAAGCACACACACACTAAAGCTGTGCAGTCCTTCGTTTCTTTATAAACATGTCATTAGGGCAGGTTATTGTGTGTCGTAAAGAAATCAGGAAATGAGTGTGTGAACTGCCCCTAGACAAACACACACTTCTTTGTGTGTTTATGGCGAAATGAACCATTCACACACTCCCTGGAAAGCACATGCAGTAACCTGGGGCTCTTTTCGCATCAGTTTTACACTGCAAAGAAATTTTCAGTGTAAATATACTACCGTTCAAAAATTTTGGTAGTCAGTAATTTTATTATTATTATTTTTTTTATATTTATGAAAGATATGTGAAATAACTGTTTTCTATTTGAATATATTTAATATAATGTATTCCTGTGATGGCAAAGCTGATTTTTCAACAGTCATTACTCCATTCTTCATTGTCACATGATCCTTCAGAAATCATTCTAATATGCTGATTTGCTGCTCAAAAAGCATTTCTTATTATTATCAATGCGGATCCATCTGGCGATCGGAACAGGAACTGAGTGGGTGTTAAATAGAAGGAGTAATGGCTCTCAGGTGAGCGTGTGATTAGTGAAGGCTGTGTGATCAGTGAATTCAGCTGTGTAAGTGCAATGGATGATGGGAACTGTAGTCCGGAGTGACATGTAACAGTCTGTGTAGTGTGAGAGTCAATGTAATGGTAGAGTGACCTCTACTGGTAATCGGCCAGAAGGCTACGGACCGGATTCGTGAAGGAGCGGCTTCCAGACGCTCCCAACACAATACCATCCAGGAGGGTGGTGGAGCGGAGGCGGAACAGGGGGAGGGACGGTGGGCCAGGTCCATGTGGAAATGGAGAGACTCGGGCCTAACTCAGGGACATGAACCCTCCCTGGGCTTAACTCGGGAACATGAACCCTCCCTGGGCTTAACTCGGGAACAGGAGCCCTCCCTGGGCTTAACTCGGGAACAGGAGCCCTCCGTGGGCTATACTCGGGAACAGGAGCCCTCCGTGGGCTATACTCGGGAACAGGAGCCCTCCGTGGGCTATACTCGGGAACAGGAGCCCTCCGTGGGCTATACTCGGGAACAGGAGCCCTCCGTGGGCTATACTCGGGAACAGGAGCCCTCCGTGGGCTATACTCGGGAACAGGAGTCCTCCCTGGCAGGGACTGGGACCTGGGGAAAACTGAGACACAAGAAACAGACAGAGCATTATACAGTCTCATGGATGGCACAGACAGCTCTTTCACAAACGGCCTCCATAGCCGTGACAGGACGAGCAGAGAGTTCGCAAATGGCCTCCATAGCCATGACATGACGGGCAGAGAGTTCACAGATGCCCTTTATAGCCGTGACAGAACAAACAGGAAGTTCACAGGTGGGTACTACTGACAACTCTGGAGGTTCTGCAGCGGATGCTGCCACCTCTGGAGGTTCTACAGTAGTGCCCTCAGGATACAGGGAGAGGTCGGCAAAGGTTCCTTCGACCTTGACATGACAGGTTGAAAGTGCGTTTCTGGGCGCCACCACCACGCAAGGAGCTGAAGCGAGCACCGCCGCTTCGGGAGGTTCTGCAGCATGCGCCACCACTTCTGGAGAAACTGCAGTGGGCACCATCGCTTCGGGGAACACAGCAGCGAGCACCACTACCTCAGGAGATTCTGCAGCTTCAGCCGCCAACTCTGGAGACCTAATAGTGGGTGCTGCCACCTCTGAGAGTTCTGTGGGGGTGTATGCAGCCCAAACACAACAAAAAGCGATCCCCATCAGGGGAAACACTTCAGACAGGGGAATTAGTTCAGGAACAGAAAGGTTAGAGTGAGTGGGTTTGGGGATACCAGCTGTGCGTGCAGACACCAGTGGGGTGTCCATCACACTAGATACCAGACTGGGATACTGAAAGACTGACCTTGACGATCTGGGTGCAACAGACAGGGCATGACAAGACACCTGACGATCAGCTGTGCCCTGACAAGACTCAGGATGATCAGCTGTGACGTGACATGACTCAGGATGATCAGCTGTGACATGACATGACTCAGGATGATCAGCTGTGACGTGACATGACGTGACTCTGGATGATCAGCTGTGACTTGACTGGACCCATAAATAACAACTGTGACTTGACTTGGTTCATGAAGATCAGCTGTGACCTGACTTGGTTCATGAAGATAAGCTGTGACTTGACTTGGTTCATGAAGATAAGCTGTGACTTGACTTGGTTCATGAAGATAAGCTGTGACTTGACTTGCCTCATGACGATCAGCTGTGACTTGACTGGACTCTGTAAGATCAGCTGTGACTTGACTTGACTCACGACGATCAGCTGTGACTTGACTTGACTCATGAACAACAACTTTGACTTGACTTGGCTCATGAAGATAAGCTGTGACTTGCCTCATGACGATCAACTGTGACTTGACTGGACTCAGGAAGATCAACTGTGACTTGACTTGCCTCATGAAGATCTGCTGTGAGTTGACTTGACTCCTGACGATCACCTGTGACTTGACTTGACTTTTGAAGATTGGCCGTGACTTGACTTATGACAAGCAATTGTGACTTTACTTGACTCAGGAAGATCAGCTGTGACCTGACTTGCCTCATGACGATCAACTGTGACTTGACTGGATTCAGGAAGATCAGCTGTGATTTGACTTGGTTCATGAAGATTCAACTTTCAACTTTTCACATAACGGAGCGCTGTTGTGTTCGCCATTTTGTGAGCATAATCTAGTGCAGGGGCCATTACACGAGTGAGTGCAGGGTCGCGTTCCTCTGCGATACCCACAGTGAATAGAGAGTCAACAGTCAACAAAGCAAAGTCCAAAAAACAACTCGGTGACGAACGTGGACCCTCGCGTCTAAGCTCAGATCTTAGAGGTTGATTAAGGCCATCACAAAAAAACTCTATCAAAAGACAGTCTGGTAGATCAGAATAGTGTGCTATGGCTAAAAATCCGCGAACATTGTTCTCTAGTGATCGCAGGCCCTGTCTAAGGGCTAACAAAATCCTTGCCGTGTCCATACCTGGCCAATGTTCCTCTGAAAAGCTGCTGGATCCTTGTGTGGCCGAGTATTCTGTAACGGAGGGAACACAGGAAGCGTGCAGATCCATCTGCAAGGCTTTATTCGCAAGAGGCGTGGTCAAAAACAGGCATAGGTCAGACAATGGCAAACAGGTATATTGATGGCAAGGCAAGAGGGATAATCCAGGTACAAGGCAAAGGTCCAGGCAGGGGCGAACAGTATCCAATTGGGTGAGACTCGAGGGATAATCCAGGTACACAGGCAGTGATCAGAACATGGAGAAACAGACAAGGCAAGATGATGAAAACAAGGAAAAGCAAGACACTAGGCTCGGTAAGGCAGCTAACACTAGGGGAGTGGAAAATGCAGAACAATACACGAGACTAAAACAGAAAAAACGGAAAGGCTCGGTAAGGCAGCTAACACTAGGGGAGTGGAAAATGCAGAACAATACACGAGACTAAAACAGAAAAAACGGAAAGGCTCGGTAAGGCAGCTAACACTAGGGGAGTGAAAAACGCTAGACAATACTCGTCGATCTGAACAGGAACTGAGTGGATGTTAAATAGAGTGAGTAATGAATCTCAGGTGACCGTGTGATTAGTGAAGGCTGTGTGATCAGTGAATTCAGCTGTGTAAGTGCAATGGATGATGGGAACTGTAGTCCGGAGTGACATGTAACAGTCTGTGTAGTGTGAGAGTCAATGTAATGGTAGAGTGACCTCTACTGATAATCGGCCGGAAGGCCACGGACCGGATTCGTGACAGTTGCAAACTGTTGTGCTGCTTAATATTTCTGTGGGAACCGTGATCAAAAGAGCAGCATTATTTAGTTTTCTTTTTGTAACATTGTTAATGTCTTTACTTCCGATTTAATGTGTCCTTGCTAAATACAGATAGTAATTTCTTAAAAAGAAAAATACATCTTACTGACCCCAAACTTTTGAATGAGAATCTGAACATATTCTAAATAATTATTTATTCAGTCACTCATTTACAATCTTTGTATTGTGTCTGTCAGATTGAAACGTTGTGCCTTTATAAAGCTGTTGATTCATTTTGTGTCCCAATAGATGCCAGTCAAGCCTGGCACAGGCCTTGGCTGCTGAGGAAGCACCTGCCGACCGACCCTATTGGAGTAATGAAGATCCTGACATGCCCCTCCCCTTTGACCTCTCTGAAATCATCAGCCGCGTTGAGTCACTTCTCTGGAGGTGAACAAAGTCCTTTTAAGACAAGTCATGTCACTCGGCGGCCATCTTTGAAACGCCTCTCGGGCATGCAAATGCAACTCCTATATCTTTGAATGGGGAAACATCAAATTCTCCAAAACTGTTCACTAAGCATACGATTAAATTTCATATTTTAAATCACCAAAGAAATTTGACAACAACTGTGACATAGATGTTGTTACTTTTGCTCAAATAGCATTTTAAAAAGCTTATATTTTCAGGCTAGACCAGCCAGTGTGCATGCGCAGTCATAAGCGCGCATCTCAGAGCTCTGACTGTTTCTGTAGCAACCAGGACTTCTAAAGGCAGCTGCAGTGACGGCTGACTTTACCGATTAGCGATTGGCTCTTTCATTCAGAAGGCGGGGCTTCCTGCAAATGAGCAGCCATATTGAGCGTTGCATTTTTCCCCATTCAAAACTATACGAGTGACACGTCTTGGGTATTCTATAGTCTTTGAGGTGAACTACATGTCTTATGTTAGGGATTGTTATTAAAGTGGAAAGTGGACTTAAGGAATGTTCAGCCGTAAATGCACAAAATGTGACTTACTTCTGTTTTTTCTTTCTTCCTAGGATGTAAGGTATTAGCAAAGGAGGGAGATAAATGGAGATAAAGAATGTTATGAGGTGGATGTTAAGAGATAGAGGCCGGGATGGAGATCACAGGTGACAAAAAACAATACAACACACACCTGTTTAGTTTCTCCTTTCTGGCCCATCTTTGCCTGAAGAACAACATTCACCATTACACACACCACACTGAGATCCACTGGGATGAATGGACGGATATAAGGATGGATACAGGGGTGGATACGGGGTGCCATCTGGACTGGACATTTTATTTCCTATTTCCATCAGTATCGTTTACTATCACTTTAACAGAGTCCGTAGTGTTACAATGCCCATGCATAGATACATATCAGTAGTTGCATATGATACCTATCCATAAATAAATATATATATATATATATATATATATATATATATATATATATATATATATATATATATATATATATATATATATATATCCATATATCCTCTGAAGCTTTTTTTTCCGGACAGGCATTATATAGATGTATACAGTATACATAGTTCACTTCGCCTCTATGTTTGTGTGTTTGTCTGCGTGCCATCTTTTGAGAGGGAAAGTCTGTAAAAATAAAATATGACATTGTGGGGGTGTATGACATCATTAACGGGTGTCATATGCATGCCGTTGCCTTTCACCTGGCGTATTGTCTAGGGATTTAGTGTGTTTGAATTTGCCCTAAGTGTGTTTGAATGTTTGTGCGTGCGTCCGTCTGACTGTTTTTAGGGAGAAGGTAAAGTAAAAGTTGTTAGACTGACTTTGTCGATGATGTTTGTCTATATAGGTGCATGTAGGTACGAGGCACGCACATGTGTACGTAATCTTTAAGACGGTTTTATTTCTGTGTGACTGAATATGAATGTGTGTGTGTATGTGTACTTAAGATGTTTCTCTCCCAAGCAGAGTAGTGTCGATAGGCGGCTCTTGCTGTGCTCTCCAAGAGAACTTACACCCCTTGCTTCGCATAATTCTCACAGCTCATTGACTCCTAACGTTTCAATAACCCCTGCCTATGTCTGAAATGCTGCCAGTTTCGGGAGGAATGCACTCAAACATCTTTAAACGATTGAAGGATGAAGAAAAGCACTCAGATGTCCTCTAAACGACTGAAGGATGAATGAAAAAGGGATGACTGTTGAAGTCCAGCAGCTTTCTTTTTATTTTTATGTTTTTCTATGTCATCAGTGTTAATGTAGAAGATCCATATTATAGTATTCAATGAAGATGCTTAAATGTGTTTTATACTTTTGAAGTTTTAGAGTTGACATTGGTTGCCAAATATTGTGTTCTTGCTGAGTAAATGCTGTGAGGTTGGTATATAAATATATAATCTTTCTTTCATTGTGTTTTTTTTTGCTGTATTCTTTCTTCGAATTGCCACAAGCCCCACTGCTTTTCTGAAAGCTTTGTGTGTGCAAAGCACTGGTTATGATTGAAATAAAATACAATTCTGGTTTATCAATTAGTGCATGGGTATTTGTTCTTTTTTTTTTAATTAAATTTATTTGTATATCGGTTGCAGTCTCTTCAAAATTTCATTCAAAGTTATCAGATAGTTATTATTACATTATATAATGCTTAATAGATGATCATTTAATTATGCATTCAGATAGATACAAATGTTTAAGTACTATTGATGTATTATTTTAGATATATGTATCTTTTAAGCATTATATAATTTGTTAATGACTAATTCAGTGAATTGACATGAAATAAAATGAGTTTTACCTATATATTTTATATACTGTGGGGTCCAAAGTCTGAGACCAGTGAAACTGCCTTTATTTTGCATTGTTTGCATTACAAATTACAATATTATAATTGGAGTGAAAGGTTCAATCTAAAAGTTGACAAATTTCTGAATGGCTCGGTATGTGGTTTGTTGACTTGAAAATCTGATCTTTTGTGCACAAGAGTTCACATGGTCACTGCCAAAAATGTCTTATTTGATTTAGCGACCTTGAAATACACAATCTTTAATATTTTTTATTTATTTTCTTTGTTTTAAATTTTCAGTTTGATTTTACATCTCAGCTGTGGTTTCAGACTTTTGGATCAAACATCCAATTTATTGTGTTCAATTTATTGTTTCAGAGAGATGCTGTCTATTTATCTGCTTTGATCTGAAGTGTATTTGTTTCAGTCTTTTATATATTTCTATCAGTCAAAAAGACTGATTTGAGCTTTTGTCCCAGCTCTATTAAAGTGTATATGTGTGTGTGTGTGTGTGTTGCCTGTAGGGGTTGGAGGTACTTCCTCTAGTCTGCAGCGAAGGTTTGTTAGATGGCTGAGCCTCAGGTGAGCAGGTGATCGGTGAATGGCCACTCTAAACTTCACTGCAGTCTGTTCTCAGGCATGTGTGCACAGGTATGCATTGTTCCAAGGAAGGGCAAAGGTCATCAGTAGTTTCTATGCCTTACATCACTGTAGGTGAGAGGAAGATGACCAGGTGCATGTGGAATTAAGTACCTGTGTGTGTGTGTGTGTGTGTGTGTGTGTGTGTGTGTTTTCTACAGGCAGGCTGATTATTATATGATTGACATCTAAGTTAAAGTTGCATCACGTCTCAGAGGTGACATTCAGACAACATACATGATTTGAAGGACAAATGCAATGTTACACATAATACATTTAACCCTGTTTTGACTGATAATGTGTTGTACTATGCACTGAACAAAAATGTAAAATGGTTTTTTTTGGAAGAGAATTAGCATTTTTGAGTCATGGGTTCCCTTGGGAATTTTCCTCTGGGATTTTAAAAAAGCAGTTTTGATTTATGATTCAAATCTGTGGTTAAAATTACCTGAAGAGATGCTCACAGATTGTTTTATAATATAAATCACATAAAGTCATAGATCAAATTTAAATTTTAGAGCCATTGTGTTTTGTTTTTATGTAAGTTACTAAATTAGGGTTAGGGTTAGAGCCTACGGTTATTGCGTGCTTTCATTGAATAGAAAACAGCAGCAATATTCTTTCACATATCTCCTGTTGTGTTCTACAGAAGAATATAGGTGAGTAAGTGATGGCAGAATTGAAAATTTACAGTGATCTGTCCTGTAAGAGATCACAATTTTGCCTTTTTTTCTGTTCAAAAAGGCAGATATCTGATGTGCACGTGCAGAGAATATCATTGCAAACTTGAAATTGTGAGTGTGTGTGTGTGTGTGTGTGTGTGTGTGTGTGTGTATTCACATGTTCTCATGAGTCCACATCTCTACACAGACTGAAGAGTGAGTTATTTAATGAGACAGCAAGTCCCAAGAGCACCGTGTGTGTGTCCACGTGATGAACACATAATGCAGTTCTCCCAGTTAACTAGCAATGAGTGGACCTGTCAGACCCTTGAGCCTCATGGTTACTGCCTGATGCTGCCTCTACAGTGCTGTGTGGGTTAAACGGCCACTCATGCCTGTCATGGCTGCCCAAGCAATGGGGTCTAACAACCCTGTGGCCCCCTGATATTACTAGTATAGGAGAAGAACAGAGATTGTGCATTACAGTGATTTCAGCATGGTAAAAGTGTTGTTAGTGCTTTTATAAAATGGCAGCAACAGACATATGATAAACGATGCTAATGTTTAATAGATAATCACAATTATTAATAATAATCATGTCTTGGCAGGTAGGGCACATCTGACATTTTCTACATTTTGCTAATCAGTACTTTAGTCATTTAGTTTTCCAGTAAACATATCTTTAAAGAAACAACAACAACCTTAAAACATTATATATATTTATGAGAAAATGCAAATTAGGTTAACACAATAAAATATAGCCCTGTTCTCAGAGAACATATGCTACCATTCAAAAGTTTGTATTAAAGTTTCTTATGGTCACCAAGACTGCTTTTTATTTGATCATAAATGAAGTAAAACGAGTAATATTGCAATATATTATAACAATTTAAAATAACTTTTCTATTTTAATATATTTTTATATTAAAATGTGATGGCAAAGCTAAATCTTAAATTGCCTTTATTTGTTGTTTTCTTGTTTTAAGCATAAATTGAACTAGATTTAATTAGATTTATGCTTAAAGTAAAACTAAGTTAGTTGCACAAGGTAAGAATTCAAGATGTATTCTCTTGCACAGTTTACATGGTGTGCAAATGTATCTTATCTATGGATGTTTAGATATTTTTACTAGAAAACAAGCAAAACAAAAAATACAGCACTAAGAAATTGGGTGACCCCCCAATTGGTATGAAGTGTTGGTATGTGGTTCACCCAATTTCTTAGTGCTGTATTTTTTGTTTGAGAACAGAGGCTCTTAGTTTGCTCATTACAGGACGCAGGGATCCGGGGCTCTCAGCAGTGTGTGTGTCTGTGTTTGTGATGGAATGGATCTGGCTTTTGACTGATGTGCTGATAGTGATGTGAAACTCTTGAAGTACATTTTTGGCACTTGAGTGAAGGGACACTGCTGTGATCTGGCTTAAAGGATTCCAGTGTGTGTGTGTCTGTCTGTGCTGTTGACAGTTTCATTCTGCTAAACTCTGCTGTGACCTGACTTTAGAAATGTATTTGCAGCGCTCCAGAGAGAGATACAGTGTGTGTGTGTGTGTGTGTGTGTCGGTGGCCTTCTGAAGTCCTTCCACTCTGCAATGGCTTTGGTCTCAGGGACCACTTTCGAAGTGCCTGTCATGTTGTATGACCCACTTCCTGCCCTGTCCCACAGCACTGGCCACCACTGGCCCCAAAACCTCAAACACACCAAAGCCACTAAATTATTGAAAGAGTTGTTACCTGTAGCAGAAGAACCGCTTCTCCCCAACCTAAACACTGCAACCATTTCATACACACATATTGTATTTGAGGTGGTTAAACTTCAAGAAGACTGTCCGTATTATGTGTGCGTCACTAGTGTTTATAAGTGTTTGTTTTATGAAAGGTAGTGGGTTTATTGCATTATCTCTCCCTCTCTCAGCTCAATCTAGCCTGACAGAGTCATCTGCAACTCATCTAATATGGATGAAAGGCCTTCATAATATTGCTGGCCTGTGTGTGTCTGCACATATGCTCCATGATCTCCAATTTCAAATCTTCTTTCTTTCTTTCTTTCTTTCTTTCTTTCTTTCTTTCTTTCTTTCTTTCTTTCTTTCTTTCTTTCTTTCTTTCTTTCTTTCTTTCTTTCTTTCTCTATCGCCTTCTTTCTTTCCTTCTTTCTTTCTCTCTCTCCTTCTTTCCTTCTTTCTTTCTTTAGTTCCTTCTTTCTTTCTTTCTTTCTTTCCTTCTTTCTTTCTTTCTTTATCATGTTTAATGCATTTTCTGGACTCAAGATGGATAAAACCAGCTATTAGAGAGGAATTAAGATGTTCCGATAGGCCTGCGAGAAAAGATGAAGAAGGAGAGGGTGATATATTCATCAGGTACGATATTCACCTTATCTGCTCCGACCTTGAAGGGTGTATGTATGTGCGTTTGGCCACTTCACAGTCGTACACACACCTACACACTCTCCTCTCTGCTTCTTGATTGACAGGTGCTGAAATGAGCCCCTGAATAGCTGTGGGCTTCAGTCTCCCAAATAACTCGCCCGTCAAATTACATCCCGCCCTCCTCACTCGCCCGGTCGCCTGGGAGACCTATTTATTTGTCTGTTTATTTGCTTGGTTTAAATATTTGGTGGGGAAAATATAGAATTTTTGTCCCCCGGTCAAAGTGCTCATATTTAGTTAATAACAAGAGGAGAGAAGGTTGTTTGCTCTGAGAGACGGAGAGGACAGAGAAGGAGAAAGGGGAAAAGGGAGGGTGATTTTATTTTATATAGGGAAGTCCTTGGAGAAAGAAGATGACCTGTCACTGAAACTCTCTTTGAACGCTGGATTGTAATCGTCACTCATTTATGCGTTCCTGAGCTATGAAGGATAAACTGATTTTTGTAGTGTCATTGAATTAATCTCTAAATTGCATTGGTTATGATACCCCTTTGCTACATGACCATAAATGTATTGAGCTGGAATGGATCTTCCTTTAAAACACTGTTTGTATTAATTTTCCTAACAGTACATTCAGATTATTGTACCAAATTAATGCTAAGTGTGTGTGTGCTCTTCTGAGACTGCATAATTAAAGATATAGTTCACCCAAACATTAAATTGTCATCATTTACTCACCCTCATGTTGTTCTAAACCTGTATGACTTCCTTCCTTCTGTGGAACCAAAAGAAAATAATTTAAAAAAAAATTTTTTAAATGTCTGTGCATATGATTTTTGTTTATACGATGGAAATCAATGGGGTCCAAAACAACACTGAACTCCAGTGACTTTCAAAATATCCTCTTTTGTGTTCTACAGAAGAAAGTCATACAGGTTTGGAATGGCATAAGGGGGAGTAAATGATGACATACTTTTTATTTTTGGGTGAAATACAAGTTCATCAGTGCAAAAGTTCACGAATAACCTATATTTCAGACAAAATCTGGCCAGTTTGTTTAATTTTTTCTCCTCAAGT